TATAACCGGTGCCCCCGGGGCTCCCCATGCCCTCGGGGCTCCCGGTGCCCCGGGGCTCCCCGGGCCGGCAGGGCTGCTCCCTCCGCTCCGGCACGGGGCTGTCCCCGGTCACAGCAGTCGCGGGGGTTCGGCTCTCGCAGCCGCTCCCCGGTACCCGGTACCCGGTACCCGCTCCCCGGTACCCGCTCCCCGGTACCCGGTACCCTCTCCCCGGTACCCGGTACCCGGTACCCGGTACCCGGTGCAGCTCGGCTCTCCCGAAGCGCCGCTTCTCCGGTACCGCAGGGCTGTACGTGCACAGCCCGCTCGCCTCTCCGCTCCCTTGCAGGGGTGCTCGGGACACGGAGATTTTAGCCTAGGTGTGTCTGTGGAGTGTAGCAGGCGCGTTTGAAAGTTTTGCGGTTGGCGCATAGGAGAAGTTGGTTTGTGGAGGGGTTGGGTTGGCTCCCATCCTACATCCCGCCTATGTCGGGAAAACGAAAAAGGTGCGAGAGTCTAAATCTGTTCCTGATTTTACTTATAAACTTGGTGAGAGAAACTTACTGCATCCCGAGGCAGCTGGTATGGAGGCAGTGTGTTCTCCTGCTTCTGTAGCTCAAGGCATGGTGCTGGAGTCTTGTAAGTACAAATTCTGGTTGAGAATTTCCAGGAGTGTTCACCTGGGGCAGAGCTGCGGGATTGCGCTGAGGATTGCTATAATCTGTGGAATTCTGAATGAGCTCAGGCTCTCCTCTCGGGACAGAGGGACTCCTCAGACTATTTTCCATAGTCACTTTAATGCACAGCCATAGTTTGAAGTGTGAGCATTATGATTTACTGAGATTTTACATAAGCAAAAAAGGGTGCCTGAAGTGTTGGGTAAAATAGAGAGAATCTGGTCCAGAGTTTGAAGGCAGAAAACTCAAGTGTGTCCCACAGGTTATAAGTAAAATGTGAAAAATAAAAGGGTTGTAGTGTCTCTTTGCCCTTGCACAGAGATGTTGTGGGAAGCCTCCTGAGAGAGCACCACATTAAAATGATTCCGAGTTGAAACGCTGAAAGCTTCATGTAGACATTTCATGGGTTTCTTCTTTTCAATTTTGTGGTGAGAGAGAGAAGGAGAAGGGAAGAAACTTCATCTCTAAGAAGTTGCTCTGTCAGAATTTTTGATACAGTCATTACTTTAAAATAAAAATACCTAAACTGTGTGCAGTCAGGGATAAATACAAATAAATATCTGACAGAGCAATTAATCTTTTCCAAGCAAGATGCTGGCAGAGTGGCTTAGGGGGCACAATTGTGCTGGGAAGAGCTTTCAAACAAATTGTTTGAAAACCTTGCTGTAATCCCAGTGGAAGTTGTCTGCAAGCACATTTCAGAGGTCTGCACTTGTTTTAATGAGATCTAGATTATTTATCTCAAGTCAGGGTTTTTTTTCCTTCATTTCCCTCCAAACTTTTTCAAAAGTTAAACTAATTGCTAGGTCATGGGAAAAAGAATATAATCAAGGAGAAACAAGTAGACTTCCTTGTTATTAGCTAACTTCAGTAACCTTCAAATATACTTTGGCCATGTCACAGGCTTATTCCAAGGATCTTCTGGAGAACAGCAGCCTGTAAAGGTTTCTGTTTGTGAAATGTTAGCAGGGTCGAAATAATTTAAAAACACAAAAACCCTTCAAGTTTATCATTATACAAACTTACTCTCATGAATTTACTCTCATCCCCACTTAGACTCCTGCTTCCGTGGTGAAATGATCTTCTGTGATCATGCACTTGTAGAAAGGGAATGTCAAATAAGATTAGCGACATAAATCTCTGCTGCTTCATGAGTTTTACCCAGCTGCCTGGCGATTTCACAGCTGTTTGTGCATTTGATAACAATTTCCATAGCTCTGCTTTCTGCAGAGAGTTACAAATCTTGTTTTTAAAAATCCAGTAACAGAAATGAGTAACAGTAAATATAATGAACTTGTCTTTATTACAGAGAGTTCTTGGACTGTGTAAGTCTGCCTCTTTTTGTTCTGAGAAGAGGTTTTGGGATTATATTACTTAGGTTTTCTTGAAGAGATTTAACAGGTTTTTTAGTGGTGTGTTGTCACAGTCAGTTCACAGCTAGGCAATCTGAGGAACAAGGAGATGGAGTGATTTGCTCAAAGAAATTGGACACATAGAAGACACAAACTCCCGTGTATTCTGAATCATTATTCACACAGGTGATGTCAGCAATAGAAATTAAGTTAAAAATAAGATTTTTATCTACAGTATTTCTTGTACATTGCCTTTTCCTGCCTGGTTCTTTCTGGGGGACTTGACTGGGTTATAATACTCACTACAGGATGTCACATCATCAAAGGAAAATGTTACATTGGGCCAGAAATGGGTGTCTGCTTCCAAGAAAAGAGGCAGAAGCCACAAGGAGAGCAGAGGGAGAACATCTCCTGCTTTGGTTAGGTTAGGAGCAGGAGTCAGCCCACAGCAGGAGCTTCACACTTACAACTTTCATTCTTAAGAAGCTGATAAATATCCAACAAATTTTCTTGTAGGAAACTTCCATGCTAGAATATTGTCACCTCCAGTTCATCATTCAGCAACAACTGACACTTCAAGTGGCTCTTTCTGCCTTGAATTGTCATACAAGACATCTTCAGCACTCCTCTGCTTTCTGAGCCAAGAGTCTGTTACCATGGATTTCTCCTGGATCTGGTAGGTGTACATTCTGATGGATTTCATGTCTTTTTGATAAATCTAAATTTACACTTATTAATGGCTAAATGTTTTTTCTCCTTCCTTTATCCAGCCACAGATTGCCACAGAAGTTTTCCAACTCAAAGTAGTTCCTTAGTAGTACTTGTGGTATGATTAGTGAGAGGATGCTAGTGTTGCTAGGTATCTTTGCCTAAATTTCTTACCCTGAAACTTGAACCAAATCACCTGTTGGCTTAAGTCAGAAGTGACTTTGCTAGCAATGAAGATCCAGTGCCCTTTTTTTTAGGGCTGAATACCTTTGCTCACACTTCAAATAGGTTCTGTTGTTTATTGAATAGTATTTCAATAGAGGGTTGTTTATTTGTTTCATATGAATGCCTGCCTTCTTACATCCTATTCCAGACAAGAACTGTGCCCCTCAGAAATCAGTCCTCAGAATTGCAATTGACTTGATTATTACAGATTAGAATATTTTTTTTTATTCCTGTTAGATTTAACTGTATAAAAATATCTCTTTTCTTCATAAATCTCTGTACAAGAGGATTAGGAGATTTTAATGCTCATTGAAGATGTATTTGAAGCAGAGGGACAAGGACTTTAGAGACAGGAGTAAATACATTCTGATTAAAGGTTAAAGTTTTTCAGAACTTTATTATGGGCTTTTTCAAGTTATTCAGAAGTTTCCCTATTTCAGTGACTTTTAGAGTACTTGGACTTTGAAATAGTTATTACAGTGTATTTGAGCCAATAGACCTTTTATATGCAAAACAGTTAATTTTTTTCTCTCTCAAATTTGATAATAAAATGTTATACTAGTTGATTGGCAAGATCAAAAAACCATGACATTTGGGGGCCACATTCTTATGTTGTCCTGAACTTCTGTAACATTTTATGGATAAGTAATGCAGCAATGCAATATCATCAGTGTACATCTCACTGCTGTTTTTTCATTATTGAAAATGGAGAAAACTTGGACTCAGATCCAATGGGAACAGATCAGTGACACTTGTGAGCAAACCCATGGCTTTCTTGGGCTCTTTCTGTCTGATTTAAAAGACATGTAATCACACATTATGATTCAAAGAACAAAGGTACCAAACCTAGGAGAATTTAGGATATCTAAGGTGTCAGCGCAGATATATTTGCTTTGTCTGATAAGCACTAAACAAAATCCCTTTTCTACCCTTGGAGATACCAATTACTCTCACAGAAACAGGCAGAATCACTGAATGGAACTGGTTGGAAGGGGCTTCTGGAGGTCATATGGTCCAATCCCCCCACTGCTCAGCAGGGTCATCTGGGCAGATGGCTTTCAATTATCTCCGAGGGTAGAGACTCCAAAACTTCACTAGGTTCCAGTATTCAGTTGCCCTCTCAGTAAAAATGTTTTTCCTGATGATCAGAGTGTTTCAGTGTGTGCCTGTTGTCTCTTGGGCTGTCCTGGGTGTGCTTGGGTGTGTTGTGTGTGCTCAGCAGGGACAGACAGGATCCTCTGGCAGGCTGAGCCCACAGACAGCTGAGCACTCTTCTCCAGAGCAGTAGAACAAAAACCTTTGGCAAACCAGATCTGGGCTTCCCTTCTCTCTTGAGGGTTCAAGGGGACTTTAACACTCTGACTGTATCCAGCATTTAGCCTGTTTGTGCCTGTGGTTTTTCAAAAAGAGTGAAATCCTCTTGTAAAACCCATGGTCAGTTATAGGAGGTACTGATATATAAAACCAAGGGCTCTCCACAATGAACGAATATATCTTAGCAACAAGGGTGGAGTGGTGGGAAAGGAAAAGGAGAATACAAGTATCTGGCAATTAACTTCCTAGTCACAGATGTGAAGGTGATAAAAGTGATAAAAGCATTACTGCATTGCCAGCGCTCTTCCTTGTTCTCTGAGCTGCATATCGTGCTGCTCATGAAAGCAAAAGCGGCACAGCCCACACCAGAGTGGTGGGGAAGTCCTGGGAACTACTCACAGCAGAAAAACCAGTGGCTCCCCAGTGGTTCCCCAGTGTTTCCCCAGTGTCCCAATCTCTGTGTGTGCTGGGGTGCACTGAGCTGGGTCCAGGACAGCACATCTGTGGCAGCCTCAGTGTTGGCAGAGCTCACTGCAGGCCCCAGGGTGACCCCACATCACCAGAGCCCCAGAGACAAGGCTGAGCTCTGTCAGGGCAGCCTGGAATGTCAGGGCAGCCCAGGATGGGGAGCTATGGGCTCCTCTTGCTCTGATCAGATGGACTCTGATTATTCCCTGGGTTTCCCAGAGCCAAAAGGTATTTGTCTCCTGTGCAGATGCAGTCAAACTGTGCATGCTGTCAGGACTGAGAGTGTGTTTACAGTCTGGAGACAGGAGGAAAACAACATGCTGTACTTGAGATGAGTGAATATGATGGTAAATTTCTCTCCCACACAGTTACAGGGATGTCATTTCATGGATTTACAAGAAAACCATTGCTTTTGCATGAAGCCAGTGTATATGGCAAGCTGTCAGTCTGGCACTGATGTTGCTGTAGCTGGAGATTAACCAGTTTTGAGCTGAGCCAAGTGCAGGAGTCTGTTTGCATCCTCACTCCCCCCACACCTACACCTTGCCATGACCATTTGAATTTTTTCCCTAAGTAGCACTTGCACTGAGAAAGGGCTCACTGTTCATCCTAGTTTTTCCTGGGCTAGTACTTGACTATGTTATTGTGATGTGCAGTGGAGCAAATATGGGTAATGTATTGTGTGTAGGTGTATAAAAAAACTGTGTGGAAAAATTGTGTGAGCAAAAATCAAAACAATGTGTGCACTTCACCTCTTTGTGAGGAAATGTAATGCCATTGAAATCGAAATTACATCCAGAAATACTGACTTTAGGATGTAACTTAATGTATGATTTGGCCCACAACACTTAAATGTTGGTGTCTGTCTTGGTCAGTGACTCTGATCTTTCTAGCACTTACATACATATTGTGGACTTTTATAAGAAGTGATTCAGATCCTTCACAATCAGTCGTGTCACTGTTTGTCTTGTGCAGGTCTGAATGTCTGGTTGTTTGTGATCCCAAGGGGACTCTTCTGTGTCCCCATTTATCTTCTAAATAATTGGTAATTATGGGTTGAACTCATGCTCTTCTCTCCACAGTGCAGCACACGCTCAGCAGAGCCTGCTCTAGCCTGAGAACGGGCCCAGTCAAGACAACCAAGATGACAAACGAGCCTGTCAAAGAGATCCTGGGCACCCCAAAGCAGCCTGATTCTGTACCCACAGAGAAGAGTAACAACAATGACTGTGTGATAACCACCATCCCCCTGGTCAGTGAATGCCAGCTGACAGCAGCCACGGGGGGAGCAGAGCTCTCCTGCTACCGCTGCACCATTCCCTTCGGCGTGGTCATCCTGATAGCTGGCATCGTGGTGACTGCCGTGGCGTACAGCTTCAACTCCCATGGATCCATCATCTCCGTCTTTGGGCTGGTCCTCTTGTCCTCAGGACTCATTCTGCTGGCTTCCAGCGTGGTGTGCTGGAAAATCAGGCAGCAGAACAAGAAAGCAAAGAGGCGGGAGAGCCAGACAGCGCTTGTGGCAAACCAGCGAACCTTGTTTGGTTAGAGGCAGCCGAGAGAAGGCTAGACAGAAGGCAGAACCTTTGTAAGTCAACTTGGCTATTTATCAGTAGGAGACATTGCAGGTTTTAATTTAACTGTGGAAATGAACTGAAATGAAAATGGAATGGATTAAGAAATATTTGTAGCAACTCTGCAAGTGCTCTCAGTATATTTCTTACTGTAGACTTGGCAGTGATTCTTTCCAAGACAGAGGAAAACCCATTTTTCCTTCACAGAAAACTGTGTCACATAACTGTAACCATCCTAACTGTGTTCTCCAACATGCTGATTGTGTTGGAAAGGGAACTTATGGGAACTGAGAAAATGACTTGAACTGACTTGAAATGCCAGAGTTCTCCTTAAAACACTGATATTTGACCGAGGGAGAAGTCACAGCATTTGAAGTGACTACAAGCCAGAGTATCTGGGACTTAAACTGTAGCTAAAAAACAAAAAGGCAATAAGAACACATTGCAAATTGCTCAATAAGCTGATTCTTATATTTTATGTAACTTCCCCCTCCCAATACCTGTGGTACTTTCCCCCTTTTTTAAATCAACTAATATTGATTTTGTTTCACTATTGAATAGAAATCAGTAGAAATGTGTAATTATGTTGTTTAACCTAAATAACAAGGTATGATCATAGCTTAAAACATGAGACTTTTTTGTAAATTAGAGTGATCAGGTTTAGCACTTTTGATTTTTTGCTATAAAATTAAAAAATAAATTTCATTACAAAAAATAAATTTCATTACAATAATATCCAGTGCTGCTAGACCTTTAGAAAATATTTCTTTATTGCTGTTAAGATAGCTTGTATCTTTGACTCTGACTGCTTTATATTTCTGTTTTGTAGAACAACCCCTGTGACAATAACTGTGAACATATGTATTGATGATCTCTTACAAAAACCTCTCCACCTCTCTGGACTTGGGTTTGATAGTTCAACCCTCTGCAGCTTGATTAACAGCTCTGTTATTGAAAAATCATAGCAGACAGTTCTGCAGACACTCACTGTCACAGTCAGTTTGAGACATAACTATTAATAATAACTTGTAGAAGCAAAGCTATGTGTAGTGTTTGCTGACTGAGCTTTGGGATTACAAATCTTCATGAGAAGCAGGTGCCAGGTGTCCCCTGCTTGTGACTGAGTGTTGATTCTGTAACTCTTGTGTTGTAGAGGTCTTCCAGCTTTTCTCAGTTAATGGATTATTGAGGGGCTTGTCCCAGATTGAAGCAAACCAGAAGATTATTTCTCCTTCTTGAAGGACAAGTGGTGCTGAGCTGTGTCACAAGTTTCCACCCCAGTGTGTAGGAGAAAGGCAGAGGGGCTGCATGGAGCTCTTTCTATTTTTTCTCTCTTTTATTTTTCCCCTTACTTTCTCCAGACTCAAAAGGGCTGGGTGTGATTTTTGCTTTCCACTACCAAGGTGAGATAGGCCCATGTCTTCTCTTTGTCCTCAGAGCCTCTGGCAGCCAGGATGGTTTTGGTGATGCTGCTGCAGAGCCCACCTGCCAAAGAGGTGCTGCAGGGGGCTCCTTCTCAGCTCCTCCTGGATCCCTACACTTCTCCTGCTGAAACCACCCAGGAATTCTGGCTTAGGTGCCACCATTTCCTCTGCTCTCCATGGTTTAAGCTTGTTACATCCATAACTTATCCCTGGATTTGCAAACTGCACCTCGTGTTTTAAATAGAGCGAGCTATATGTGCAGGAGGGGATGTTTGGGGTCAGTATTTGCGTTGCCACACTCCGTGGTTACCAGACGCTATAATAAAATCACTTGCATCAGAGGAAAGCTGACAACACATTTTAGCACTTCCATAGCCCTCACTTAATCACGGCAGGAAGCTTTCCTGCTGCTAGGAGAACATGTTGCGTCACCAGAACATCTGACACCGGTGTCTAGTGTCAATCACTTTGCTTAAGGTCATTAAAAATATTAGGGTGTCCCCTTACGATGTACAGGTTTTGCATGAGTGACAATTCATGGGAAATGCATAGCATGATAAATAATGGAACAGGTGGACTAAAGTGGTGTCTTTCCTGTTTAAAATGAGAAAAGTGATTGACATCAGCAAAGCTGGATAAGCTAAATAGAGCTGTTCATCTTTTTCCCTTTCTGGGAACACAATAGTTTTTCTGACTCCTTCTCCCTCCCCATTTCTTTTTTTCATCAGTGGAATTTTAGGGGCTGCTGAGGAGAGAACTCCAGGGGCTACAGAGATGCAGTGATTTCCACTATGTGTGTGGCACTTTGGCTCCATGACTCCTTGGCTGAGCCCAGAGCAGGAGGTGCCCACTGCCCTCTCCAGAAGTCTTTCCCACACATGGCTCCTCCTTTGGCCATCACTGTGATGTGGAAGGAAGGTAGAGGTACAAGGTGAGGCTCAGCTCCAAGTCAAAAAAGAAAAGCCAAACTCAGTGGAATAAAGACAATGGGGGTTTTGGAGCATTTTTTTTTTTCAGGAAGGGTAAATAGGAGTGAGTAAGAATTGCTCTGCTACTCCTAGAGATTATTTCCCTTTCCTTATCCCTGCTCTCTTTTGCAGTGCATAGGCAAGGACACAGCAGAGTTCCTGGACCATACTCTGCCTTGCTAATTGTGGGCATTACCCAGCCTGTGAGCAGTGACAGGCACATTGCAGTGACCCTGGGTGTGATCCCCTGGCACAGCAAAGCTTCAGGCACAGCGTGGTCTCTGCAGTCCCACTGGACAGGCTGGGAGGTCTCTGGGTGAGAGGGGCTGCTGAGCTCAGCAGCATCCTCTGTGTCGTTTAGAGATGAGCTACCAGCACCTTCATACCAAGAAGCAAATGAAAGGCTGTGCAGGAAGTCAGCCTTATTTGTCCTTTGTTCAGAGGAGCAAAACAGTGATTTTATGGGGAAGAATCCCAGGACCTGATCCTGGTGTCCTGCAGGAGCAAAGCAGAGATTGTGAGCAATTCAGGCAGAGATTTTTATGCTGCTGAAGATGTTTTCAAAGGTTTCATTGCTGTTTGCATGGCCTTAGAAACGGACTTTTCCCTCATGATTTGTTTGCACTGATTTTGGACCAGTCTGAAGCAGAAGTAGCATCCTTTCTGACTGACCAGAGATGATATCTGACCCACGTCTCTCACTCTGTGCTTTTTTCTTCTTGCAAATCTATGTATTTCAGATATTTGCATTATTATCCTGTCTATCTCTGCACACCCAGGAACAACACATCCTTTTCAGCTCTTAAAGCCCAACCAAACTTTCTGCTTCATATTTTGTACCCCATGACCTAATCTGGATTGATTTGGAGTTTCATGCCTGGGTGCTGCAGTGCACCACTTCTTTTGATACAAAGCCATCTGGAGCTCCATGATTGCTGTTTGGTGTTTCTCATGGGAATCTGAGAAGCAGAAGGACACAACCCTGTGGAGATCAAAGTGACTTTCCAGTTCAGAAACACCTTCCCTTCTGGTGTGAAAAGGCTTTGAATGCCACAAATGGTGTTTCAGTTCTGGGAGAGGCTGGGTGGGAGCTGATGCAAATTTTATTGTCACAATTGCTTGTCTATCCCTTCCTGAAAGCCCTAGCAGCACTGCACAAGAAAAACTTCCCTCACAAGGATAGAAGATTATCTAATAGAGGAATTGCGCTGGCGCTCCCGGCAAATGTTACAGCGATCTTAATAATTTCAAAACCTAAGCACAGGAAATTGTGTCTGTAACTACACCCTGTATTGCTGTTATACACAAAGACAGTTATAGCCTGAGACAGTATTTTAAAATGATAATCAGGTTGGTATGACAATGCTTAGATTTTGTTCAACTCAAAATGCCCAATTTACAATCCCCCATCATTTCATGTGCTGTGTTCTATACGTGACTGGCTTTAATACCATAATTTTCCAGGTTTAAAAAATAATTAAAAAGAGAGAGAGAGAAAGAGAGAAAGGTTAGTTTCATGGACTTGTGTCAAGAATTAAGTTTCTCTGCCATGGACACTTGGGAGAGCTCCTGTTACCAAACAGCAAATGTAAAGTATTACTGCAGCTCCACAGAACAGGAACCAGCTCTGAGTGTGGAACGAAGAGAGGCCTGAGAGTCTCATCAGCATCCGGAAGAGTCAGGCCAGGAACAAGCCCTCTGGAATATCCCCTATTCCTGCCTCAGCTTTGCTTATCCAGAGTCAAATCCAGGGTTACTGCTCCTTTGATATCTGAGATGGAAATTGTATATTATTAGCAGGTTTCACCTAATTTGTTTTTACAATGGGGTGCAAAATAAGAAAAGCAGAACAATATTAGCAGCCATCATTTTGCATAGATATTACCAATACCTCTGAGCATTGACAGACACCATCTGCTTTTATATTTCCTATACCTTTGATGCCTGTAGCTTGTATGACATTTTAGCTACATCATTATAAATATTTGCAGTCATGAAGGGCTTTTATATATTGAATTACATTACATATGAAGAATTGCACTGTATGATGTGAAAAATATAAATTCTGGCAGAAATCTATGTGTAGACTAGATCTTACAGGCTAAACCATGTGGGAGAACAATGGTCTTAAACTGCAAAATCAACTTGAATTTTTGGCTTTTATTCAGGTTGTTGATGTCACTATTAACATGACACAGGACCTAATCCTTCCTCTTGTGAGCAGCCAGTTGAAGTCCTATTGTCCTGACTCTGTGCATCCTAAAATTTGCATTTGTGGCAAACGTGGCAATTTTGAAAAACACTTCTTTTGGATTGATTGCTTTTCCTCTTAAATCTTCTTCTGTGCTTCCTATACTAATAGAAAAATTACTGTATTTTAAAAACAGAAAAAGAGAAAAAAAGAGAAGAACATACAACTGCAGATGTTGGACACTGCATAACGTAATGGAAGGATAGTAAATGTGCCTTGTTGATGGAGACTTTCAAACACATATAAGACTTGTTTCTGATACAAGACTTTATCCTCAGTTTCATTCTTAGAAAATTCCTTAAGTTCCCCAGGTTAGCATCGATCTTAGATCCTCACCTCATATTTATTTTCTGTTTCCCAAGAACCATTTAGCTCAAAAGGCAGATTCTTTTACCATCTTTTACAGCCTGACTGACATGGAATGGCCAAGTGGGATTTGCAGAGGCATTCAGCCACAGTCTGCTCTTGAAGGGGTAGACACTGGGCAGAGGTAAAGATTTCTGTGCTGCAGCAGGAGATGTCAGTGAATAATCTGTGACAAAAACATAAATAACAGCAGAGCAGCCCTTCACTGCCTCTCCTCAGCCACGTTCCCTTTCTATCTGAAGGCTCAGGTTTGTGAATAGAGTTAACAGCTTTCCTGGAAAACTGGCCCATGACATTATTTCCTTGTGAACTCCATCCACCTGTCATGTTAGGGCTTGGTGCAGCGCCAGGGCTGGCAGGAAATAATAGGCAGCAGGATGCTGGTGTGTGTCGATGGCCCTGACCCTCCCATTCCTGAACATGAATAAGCCTGGGACTCACCGGGCGTCAGAAGCGCGCAGCTCCCAGGCCCTGGGACGCGCATGGGTGGGAGGCACAGCCACTAAAATAACATCCAGCCAGCAGAGCTGCAGCCCAGAGTGCTGTGGGAAGGGATGGTGTCACATTCTCAC